GTTGGGAGGCAGCCAGCTATCTAATGTGGTGTAAGAGGAACAAAAAGCGAAAGAGCATTGAAGAAGTTAAAGCCACACCATAAAATACATCACTCAAAATGTTTAGATCTCTTTGCTGTCTCCCGCACACATTCACGTGATGACATACACTAAAGGCAAAAGAGTGTTTGAGATTAAAGTCTCAATTCTCATGAACAGCTAATAAGCTTAGCTGGTTCTCACTACCACCATTTTTTTCCAGAAAAATTATTAAAATTATAGGATATTTTTCGCCCCATCTATTTGTTTATCCGAGGTGAAAATAAATCGAGATTGAACGAATAAGGTTATGTTTGTGTTCGTTTATTTATTTTTTAAGGTATTCATATTTAGTTCGTGTTCGTTTAAAATTTTAATATTATGTTCGTGTTTGTTTATTTATTTTTAAAAGTGTTCGTGTTCGTTTATTTATTATTTACAAACATGCTCATTTAATGTTCGTGAACGTATTCGTTTATATGTTCACGAACATATCCATTTAGCATTCACGAACATATCCATTTAGTATTCACGAACGTGTTCGTTTAGTGTTTGTTTTTATATGTTCAATTTTTAGTTTCACCATCTCATTTGTCATCTAAAGAAAAATAGTAAAATTATGTCACTAATGCTTAAACTCCTTAAAATTTACAGTTTAAATTTCAACTTTTATCATGTGTTTAATTTAGTCCTGCCTTCACCCATATTTAACGACATGTAACCAAAATAAAATCAAAACGTAACATTATGTATGATTTAAAAAAATAGGTGGATAACCAAAATAAAACTATATGAATAGTTAGATGATAAAATATGTAGTTTATCTTAAAATTAAATTATATTGAACTTTTTATTTAAACAATGATAGCATGCAATTATAATGTTTATTTTTTTTACTCTTTGTATGATAAATAGGTTTTCTTAAAGAATAATCTATTTAGAAGTAATGATTTGCATAAAAGAAATATATGGTAACGTTAAATATATATACATATATATACCTAAAAATTAAGGGCCAAAGCCGCTTCTCAAAGCAACCATCAGTGTTTCTTGAAATCCCTTTTTGAGACCACTCTAACAAATTATTCCCATGGAACCCTAGGATATGCCAACTAGGGTGAGTGTTCGATCGAGTCTATTCAAGCTAAATTTTTTTTGTGTTATTCGAGTTGATGAGTCCTATTTTATAATTCGAAGTTGATTTGAAATTTTTTCGAGTCGAGTCGAATTTTCAAGTTTCTGATTAAATTTAATTGTAAATATTTATAATATTATAATATTATCTGATTCCAATTTAAATAGTTTTTTATAACCATATACAATACATATATATTTATTCATATTTTTTCCATATGTAATATATATATCATACATAGTTATTCGAGTTATAAAATACAACTCGAATAACTCGAAAAGTAACTCAACTCAAACTTGAAAATCATCCACTAATTACTAAATTTTTGAGTTATTCGAGTTGTATTTTACAACTTGAATTGAACTTGAAATTTTTTCGAGTCGAGTCAAGTTTATAAAATTATAACTCGAAAGTCAATTTGAGTCGAGTCGAAAAAAATCAATTTTCGAATCGAGCCAGATGTTACTCACCCTAATGCCAACTACAAAGAGTACAAAATCTAAGTATTTTCAATTATTATATTAAATTACGCCCAAACTTTAGTTTGTAAACCTTGTTTCATTTATGCCTGACAAAAGATGATAAAAAAGTAAACAATAATAATTATAAAAATAAGTTATAATTGATTCAAATAAAAAAATAAGAACAATAAGGAATCGTCTATTCGTCAAAAAATCATGAAATCAGATGAACAGAGATGTTGAGACATGTTTACACAATTTCCTTAAGATATATTTATTCGTTTCTATAGTGTTGGAGAACGTTTGTCAACGGTCTCACAAACCACAACAATGAGAAAAACAGAGCAATAACACAACTATAGTGGCAAACTAATGTAACCTATCTTTTTTCTATCACCGAATTTGTTTTAAAGAATAAAAAAAATATTTGTGTGTTTACTTTGTAGGTTTACATGGTTTGAATAGAAGAATCACACTAAAAGATTATTGGAAAGTTTGGATAATAAAGCAATTAATATCCGAGAAATCAAAGAACCATTAATGTACAATATTCTCGTCTTGTGAATTAAGATATAAACTTTTTATTTTTTCTCAATACAATTCACAAGTAATTTACTTTGAACATCAATTACAATTCACAAGTACGATATAAAATAAAAAATTATTATTTTATAATTCGAATATCAATATTTACTCGTTAAAAATATACCTCAAAATTTTTTAGAAATCTATTCTTTTGCCAACCGTTCACGCTTTCACGAAGCAATAACTTAAACCGTGGATAAGTAATGTCAAATTACTAAAACATTCACCAAAGCCACGGCTCCAACAAATTTGTGCTTATGACTTGGTTTTAATTAGAGATGGGCACGAACCCGAACTCGATCTAATCTGATTGAGTTAAGGTTTTCTTTTAAAATATCTGATTCGATCTAAAAATATTAAAGGATAATTACAATAATAAGTTCTTTATATTATTTATTTTCAATTAAATTTTTATTTTATTTAATAAAATTAATAATTTTATATTATTTCAGGTTAGAGTCGGATTGAATCTCAAAAGTCGAGTCTAAGTGAAATTAACTAAACTCGGGTCATATCAAATTTTGAGTGAATGATATAAAATTTTCGGACCAGATCATCTTGACCAGAAACCTGACCCATGCCTATCTCTAATTTTAATTATGCCACTTAAAAGAAATCGTCATCTCCGTGACCATCTTGGCTCAACTGCTTATGCTGGTTATCTTGGCTCAACTGCTTCTGCTGAAAACCAGAAGAAGAATACTACAGTCTGAGTGAGACCCTAGCCAGCAACAGTAGAAGAAAACGGAATGCATGGGGACTTTTTTTTTCTTCTGATAACATATAAATCATTGTTTTTAAAACCGGACCGGATCGGTCGGTTCAATCGGAAACCGTTATCTTGTCCGGTTCAATCTAGACCGGTTGAACCGCTACTAGTGAATCGGCCGGAATCGCTGAACCGTTCAAACCGGACCGGTTGAAACCCGAAAAAAAAAACGGGAAAAAAACCGCCAATTTTTTTTTTTTTAAAAATATTAAACCAAACGACGTCGTTTGTTAAACGAGCCAAGTCGAACTCGAGTATTGCTGAGCTCGACTCGAACTTGAAAAATTTAAAAGTAAGCTCAACTCAATTCAAACTCACGAGCTAAAAATTATGAAGTTTAACTCGAACTTGAAATATAATATTAAAACTTGAACTCGAAAATGCTTGAACTCAAAAAAAAATTAGAAGCTCGATTGAAGCCTAAAATTCGAGCTTGATTGAAGTGAAAGAATAATTCACTCAATGATTACCAAAAGGCTCCATGATTTTGAATGCCAAATTACCTCTATTATTTATAGAAGTTATTTGTGACGATCTTCTATGTTTCTTAGCCATGTGAGATTGTTTTAAAAAAAAAAAATTAAACCAAACAATATCATTTTGTTATGATTTTTTTAGCCCCAAATTTATTTTTTAATTATGTTTATATAATTATATTTATTATTTAATATGTTTTACCTTAAATATTATGTTGTAGTTAATTTGAATCATTTTGTTTTACTTGATTTTATGATTTTTAACTTATATATGTCCTGACTTGCTTTGAATATGAATTGTGATATAAAAAAATATTTTTTATTAAATATTTTTGGTATTTTTATTTAATCTTTTTAAATAATTATGACGTCGTCCGGTTCTTTCGACCGGTAGAATCGATTCGACCGGTTAAACCAGTGAACCGGTAGCATGACCGGTTCGCTAACCAGTCCGGTTCTAAAAATCATGATATAAATTATTCAGATATATAAATAAGCCAGGTTAAAGATTATGATTTTATAAAAATAAATATCTAAAAATAAATAAACCTAAAGTTATAACTATACTAAAAATTAACATTCAATTGAATTACAATTTTTAAAATTTACGATCCGTGAAAAACCTTAGTTTTCTCTAAATTTCTTTAGTAGCCGTTAACCTCTTTTCTTAATCTTTATGATTTACAGCGACATTAATTTTGATATTAGTTGTCGAACGTCGATAATTATTATTTTTTTTTCTTTTACAATATCAATTAATATGATTTTTTTAATAACTTTACCTTTATGACACATTTCCTATGTCTTTATGATACATTTTCGATCGTTTGATCGTTATTTTCATTTATTTTTTTTCTCAGGGTTAGATTTGACATCGTCACAATTAATCAATATGACACTTATTTGTTATCATGTTGATATTTCATACTTTGGACCCTCATATTGGATTTGGATATGCGATTTGCATTCGTGAATATTTTTTTCACGTTGCTCGACTCTGATTTGTAGTTAGTCAATATTCTTTCAATAGTTCGATCCCCTTTTATGGTTCATTTTCTCATGTGATCAGATCTTTTCGTATTTATCTTTTGTTCGAGTTTATTTTGTTAAACTTTTTTTTAACATTTTCTTTATATGATTATTATGTGATTTTAGGTGACTAGTTTCTTGTGTTGTTAATTATAAAAAATATCATTATCATACATTTAGTTTACCGTTATAATCTTTTATTATAGTTTGAATATTTTCTATTTTTAATAAAACTAACTCCTATTTTTTTAAATTTACAAATGATTTTAGATTAATTCAAATAAATTCCATTCGTTGAAAAGTTTTAATTATTTGTCTCTTATGGGCCGTTCGATTTTGGAGATTGAAGACAGACGAAGATCCAGAAACACAGCCCAAAATCTAGAGAATTAATTTTGTTTGACATTTATACCCTTGAAGTATTTCCCGCCAAAACAGAAAGAGAAAACTCCCCCCAAACAGAACTCATGAACCCTAGCAGCCGCATAAAATTTCATCTAAAGTATTTCAAAATCATCGATATCGAAATCAATGGCTCCCTCTCCAACTGATGATTCGCTTCCTTCAACAATTGATGAGGCCTTCACTGAAAATAATCTCCAGGTTCCTATCCTGTGCTTGTTTTTATTATTTATTTTTTTCGTTTCTTCATTTAAAAAAATGCATTGCATGTATTTGACCGTCAAAAAATACGAATTTAGTTAACTTTGAAGAGGTTGAGATTTTGTTTATTAATTACATTTTCAACGTCCAAAAAAAAACATGGCAGCCGTTTTTTGTTCTTCAAAAAGGTTCGTCGAGGAAATCGGATAGAAAATCATCAGGAACAGGAAGAACAAAAAGGAGGATTGATTTGTCTCCAGCATCACCCAAGGATTCCTCCAGTCTTGAAGACGAAAAGGAAAACGAAAACATGAACTTGAGAATGGAAGCCTTTGAATTTGTTTGGTCAAAAATTGAATCAACTATTAAAGTAGGTAAAACAATCCTAGTTTTTTGTTCTCTTTCTTCTACTTTCATTTTTCCTTTTCAAAATTGCGTAGCTTTAATTGCAGGATGTTTTGAGAGATATTAATACTAATGTGTTTAACGAAATACAAACTTGGGTGCATCAATCTTTCAACACAATAAGATCACTTGGGACTCCCGATTTCCCTGAAGCTACTCAATCATTTCCTGTTATAACTGATGCTAATTCTAAAAGGCTATTTACCGGGCTTGTTCTCACTAGTAAGTTTTATATTTCCTACTTTTAGTTTAATGTTTAGTTGGACTAATTGTCCTTACCTTTTCTAATGCTGCTAAAATTCTTTGGTTTATGTTGTTGGGTGCACTGTGCATGGTATAAATATTTGCCCTTTGCAAGAAAAATTCTTTATAGTGTATTATGGTTGGCAGAGAATATGGAGTTTGTTGATGATTTACTGACATTTGAAGAGCTTGGAAAACACTTGAAATATCAAGGATGCCATGTTGCTAACCTTTCCTCACTTGACTTTACTGCCAAAAATGGAGTTGGTGGTTGCCTAAGAAGTTTATTAAGACAGTTTTTAAAGTCTACTTTGGATGTAAGTACTGGTAACTGCTTTCTGACTGTTAGACAAGAACTTACTTGCAAGGCTTTGTAGCTTGAGCTTGTTCCTTATTTCCCTTTTTGTTTGAACAGCCAGCTGACATATCAATCTTAGCATCATGGTATAGAGAAGAAAACTACAATAATCCAGTGGTTGTGATTATTGATGACATTGAGCGTTGCTGTGGGTCTGTCCTATCTGATTTCATCCTTATGTTAAGGTCCTAAACTCTCTCTTTATCATTTGCTTATCTACTCTGGTTCTCCTTTTGATTAGGATGAGTCTTATGATACTACATTATGTTTCTTTATGAAACCAGAGTTTTCTTTGTTCTTCATACTTTTGACACTAGGTGTAAGTACACCTTACTATTTATCTGCTAGTTTAAGTGTTGCTTGTTATGAGTTCTAGGATTAAGAGCCTTTTGACTAATATCAAGTTACTTTCTTGCTTTTATATCGAAATATGTACCTAACATCTCTCATTATCATTTGCTTTTATATCCGAACTCATTTTCTAAATTTCTTTTGGAAGCAAAATGTACTACTAGTAACAATCAAAGCACACTCATCTCATCATGAATAAGCATATACTCTGGTGCTCAGATTTGCACATTATCTAGTTCTTTGGCTATCATACTCTTTTAAGGATTTGAAGTACTGCTGTTTTTTTTTTTGAAATGGTCCCTGTTCTGTCTACAAATTAAGCATTAATGTCATAAAGTTTGAAGTTCGTTGCTACCTTATTGAACTTGCCTTTCTGTTTTTGATCAGTGAATGGGCTATCAAGATACCCGTTATTCTAATAATGGGTGTTGCAACAACTCTTGATGCCCCAAGAAATATGCTTCCTTCAAATGCTTTACGGTGCTTGTGTCCCTTTGAGTTCACCTTGGGAACCCCAGCTGAGAGAATGGATGCAATTGTTGAGGCTGTTCTTGTGAAGCCTTGTTCTGGGTTCAATATTGGCCACAAGGTAGCAGTTTTTATGAGAAATTACTTTCTAAGCCAGGATGGAACTCTAACATCTTTTATTAGAGCTTTAAAGGTTGGTAACACTTTTTAGCATAAATATAAAAGTCCATTATTTTTACAATTTTTTCAGTGCCGCTGCTAATTTCTTGTGACATATGAACATAATTGCATTGTTGCTGACATTATGTTTTAAGGAGATTTTTTCAGATAGCATGTACTCAACATTTCTACATGGAGCCCCTGAGTGCCATTTTGCACGATTTTGTTCTTGAAGAAGATAACTCGGTTAGTTTCTACATATTCTCTGACCAGGCTTCATCTTGTGCCTTTTCGACAATAATGCATTGTTAATTCTTGAATTTTCTCTAATCTCTTACTAGGTGTATTTTATCCTTATTATTTGTTGTCTTTATGAATAACCATATACCCAAGTGTTCAGATTTGCACATTATCTAGTTCTTTGGCCATTATACTCTTTTAAGAATTTGGAGTACGTTTTTTTAAAGTGATTTCAATTCAGTTTATAAATTAAGCATTAATGGCTTGTAGTTGGAGGTTTGTTACTACTTTTATTATTCAAGGTTCTTACATGCAGTCAAACTTAAAACTGATGTTGCACTACTTTCTGGTTTAAAAGATTTTTTTTAAACTTTGGTTTAAATATATGAATCAAAGGCTTTATTGCTCTTCTATTTTGTTGTTATAGGTGTTAGAAATTGGGCAGTATGGATTATCATCAGAAGTAATGTGGAGGCATGTTTTTGACCTCCCATCATGTCAGAGGTATTTTCAAATACCAGCAATGTTACTTTTGATTGCATTTCTTGTTTATGTAAATATTGTTGAATAGGGAAGTAATTCTCTGATGAGTTTCCAAATCTGCAAGTAGGGTGAGAGTGAACAAACAGACCAGTGCAAGCTTGGCCAATGCTTTTTCCGAATTGAAGAGATTACAAAATCAGTGGAGAGCTGTGGTTTTGGTGAGACTTAGCTTCTCCTGTTCCTTGATGTTATGACATGAATTGTGATAGTTCTAACAATTTAAGGAAAGATTTTTTTTCCTCCAAATTGTACGAAGAAAATCCTTTGTTTTGTTGTTCACTTTGTGTGGCATTGCTTGCAAAGCAACTGGACTTTAGCTGATGATATGATTGGTGTTAAAATGTTAGTACAAGCATGTATTTTCAATTCATTATTAATTAATCTAACCATACGAAGCTTAAAACAAAATCTACTTGATTTTGATCAAGGCAATTGGTCAGATCAAAGATGTAAAAAATTGGCATTATGTTGAAGCCATTGGCATATCATATTGAAGGTTATGCCTAGTTAATTGCATTCTTGGCCTTTTCCCTTATTTTCACCAATAATAAAGGACTTAATTTTGGGGTAAATTAATAATTTTTTGAGTTGAAGTTTAGAGTTGCTGCCCTGCTTTAAAAAACCATGCTTGGCTTTATGATTCCACCTTGTTCTTCCTTGTAATACAATTTTGATTGGGTTCATCCTTTGATTTGGTTAAACGGTAGTATTGTACAACTAATACCTTTTTTCTTTCTTGATATATCATAATTGTAGTGCCTGTATGTAACTGGAAAGGGTGAAAAAGTCAGACTGCTGGATTTATTCTGCGAGACAATTGATCCTATTTCACAGAACCAAAGAGAATCTGATACTTACATGAAATTTGAGAAAGATCCTGTTATAACTCCTAGTCGAATTAAGGGAGGTGTTCTCTGGGAGGCAGTTCGTTTGGTGAGGTATGTTTCAAATTCTTATAATGATCTTCAGTTGTAGTTGCCCTTACACATGCTACTGTAGGTTTTCTACGGGGAACATGGCTAAAAATGTTTCTAAATGCTCAGTTTAATTAAGTTTGGTTCTAGTTTCCACCATCTAAATGTGTGTCTAGTTCTTGGTTCTAGTTTCTACCATCTAAATATGTGGCTAGTTCCCAAAAAGTTAAGGGGAGAATTGGGTGATTGTTGTTGCTGTTTTGGTTGGTTCGTTTGTATTAGAGGGGAGTTGGTTTAGGAGTGTTTTAAATCTTTTGTTTTCTGTAGGAGTGTTAAGTTTTTAGTCTTTTGTTTTGTAATAGTGTTGTTGTGTCTTTTGTAAACTGATTTTTCTTTAATAAATTGATGCACACTTTTCCTCCTTCCGCTAATGGGTTCCAGCCTAACGGCAGAGAATCAATAAGAGGGAGGTTTTTAACGAGGCATCCTATTCCTATAAAAAAAAAGTTTCAACCTCATTTTTCCTTTTTCCTTTTGCTAATATATTAGTTCAATTTAATAGTACCTTGGTGCTATTGTATAAGCATCAACTGTATTTTCATGTCTTGTATGAGAAATAGATGTATTTTCCTTAATCTCGACTGGAAGTTGTGTCCTAACCCATAGCCTTTTTTCACTTCTTTCGAGTGGACACAAGATTCCAGTTCATTTACTTTTGTAAAATCATTTTGGTTGTTCTATTTCTACTTAAACTCTAGATAAGATTAATAAGAAAGTTAACTAATTTTGGAAACTGGAAAACATGGTTTCCCTATGTATTTAAGAAGGAAACCGATTTATAACAAATTTCCAGTTTAAAAAAATTTGGAAAATAAGTCTTCATATTTAGTCTTTTTCCTTATTTTGTTGATCAGGTATAATGTAAATATGGAAATACGCTCAAAATTTTCTTGCTGTTGATTCCTTGGTAGCAGTTTTCACATTTCATTTATTCATTGTACTGAAGTTTAAATTTTAGGGATCTTTCCACCTCACAACTTGGTGAATTGCTAAAGATATGGGACAACCTAACTGTTGACGTTGTTGAGGTATGACACTGCATGAAGCATTGATCTATGTAGATAACAACTATATCTCTATTCGTTGATACATTCCTAAAAGAGTAGTTAATTCTTCAAATGCTTGCTTATAGTAATATTAACATGATTTGTCTTTCTAAAGAAAAAGTGATTTATGACTTGGTATTTGCTTATAACAGTGACATAACTATGTTATAAATCAAAGTGTTTGGCTCTGTTAGCTGTAGATAATAAAGTTTTATTTGCTCTTTTTATCTTGCATCCATAGAAGTATAAGAGGCTCAACTTTTCTCTTCTAAGCTTTTGTAGAAAGATGTTTATCAAGATATCTTAGAATGCTACCAGTGTAATTTTCAAATTTACATCTAAATTAAATTAGGTTGTCTTATTTTGTATGCAAAATTATATTTCCAATGTATATCTATGTTTATTCATCAACATCATGGGTATATATACAAGTATAAAGGTCATATAATATGTAAAGTACTCTCCTACATTAATTACATAGTATCATATATTAAATACAATATATACGAATTCTAATATTTAGCTTATAATTCTGTAACACTCCCCTTTAAGTTAGAGCATATATATTAATCATGCCCAGCTTGTTACATGGTTAATCAATCTGGATTTTGTTAAGAGTCTGAAAATATCTCCTAGTTCTCCAGTTTTCACATAACCAGTAGTGATCAAACCTTGTTGGATTTTTTCGCAAATAAAATCAGAATCAACCTCAATGTGTTTCATTCGTTAATGAAAGACTGGATTAGAAGAAATGTGAAGCGTAACATGATTATCACGCCATAGCTGTTTATGGTTGGGGGGGTTAAATGGTCTTCTGGCTACTTTATTATGTTATCTGTTTAATTTTTACTTTTTTTTGTTTCTTTATTGTTTTACATAATTGCTTGAGCTTTCCTTTTCACCATGCAGTTCAGATGACATTGAGTTGTTTGTTTCTTGTAATAGATAAATGACAAGGTGAAGGAGTTATTGTCTTTACTAAAAGTAGACGATGGAAAGAGCTCAAAGAAAGATTTGACTGTAACACCCAAGTAATTACTGTTTTCATCTGCTTCAGAAAATAAGTAATACCTGTTTATTTGGAAAATTAATCGCTTCTTATGATAAGCTTGGGATTGAAATTTCTTTTGACTGTCTTATGAATGTATATATGCCGCCTTGAGGTCTAGTTTTTATTTTTATTTTATATCTTTCGTTTTTTGATCATCACTAGTCTTGAAGATTTACCATCTTTACCTGAAACCATATGGTTTCTTTTTAGAAAGAATTTACAATGTATCATATGGTAAACTATTTTCTAGATGCACATTTTGGTTTAGGCTATCTTGCTAAACTTTTATCACTTAAAATATCTTTCGATACAGGCTTGTACTGTACATTCCGTTATTAGTTTTGTTTGCTTACTATTAAATGTTCTCTCTGTCTAATAAAAGAAAAAAAAAACATAGAGATTATGAGATGCTGATACAGTGATACCTGTGTAGCTTGTAAAAAATAGCAATATTTATCAAATTCGATGTTAATTTTCTCACAAGAAATGATTGTTCTCTTCGTAAGTTCAGTAGCTGCAAACTTGTAATAGCTGTTTTCTTCAGAATCAATTGTTACTAGTTAAAATAATGCCTAAATATATTCTAACTATTGCCATCCTTTCCTGATTGCTTACTGCTTTTCTTTCACTGCTTTGACCGGAGACATGCATCTCAAATCCAATTGAATAAAATTGCCATCTTTTCCTGATTGCTTACTGCTTTACTTTCACCGCTTTAACAGGAGACATGCATCTCGAATCCAATTGAATATTGTGAAGGACTCGGAATCATTAATTGATAAAGCTGCTAAACTGATAGAGTGTATGGTTAGGTATGGTCATCCATTTTTATATTCCTATTCTTTGCTGTTTTGGTTTGTCCATTTTATTTCTCTATCCGTTGCACTTGATGGAATTGATATTGCTGTGCATCTATACATTTTATCTACGGATGAAAAAGTGTGCATGTTATTTGATAAGCAATTGGCTGCGGCCACGTTATTAGTATTTGCATTATTATTTATTATAGAAATTTTATATATATCTTACTTAGGGTATGCACTCTGTTTTAGGGTACTGGCTACTTATTTGCATTTTAGATAAAACCGGTTATATATCCTTGGCATATTTGGCATAGTGCAATAAAAACCATTATAGTCTCTTGCTATTTAACTGTTTCTAAATTACTGACCTGTAATTCTGTGTGAAACAGGGATTATATGTGTCCGATTGAGTGCATACCTTTTCATGAAATTTTCTGTTTTAAAGATGTTGACAAGCTTCGACTGGTGAGCATGAGGTTTAATTTGCATTTGAATATGTTGAAGCAAGCTTTTCTAGATCTGCAAAGAATGTTGCTTAACACATTCCTGGCTGTTGTAAATTTGATAACCAAATCTTAACTTCTCATTTTCCTTGTTGACTGTTTTGGATGAAGCTTAACTTTCATTCCACTTTAGAAGTTATTGGGTTATAAAATTTATTGTTTTCATTTTGATTTTGTATTAGGCTCTAATCGGGGACCCTAGAAGAAGGATTCAAGTTGATCTTCTTGAATTCCAGAAACTCCTCTGCTGCAGTTGCTGTACTCAAGGCAGCAGTGGCCTATTACCATCGATGCATGATACGTCCATTATGTAAGTATTTTTTGCATTTTCAGTTATCAGAGAGAGTGCTCATATAACTTAAATGGTAACCACCATCTATTTGTAATCATACTTTTGATCCCCGGATTTTTAATGGCTGCCATCTCAAGTCCTACCCAATTTCACAATTTGCAAGTTATCGAGCGAATTGGATTTAGGTTTTATCCTTTTGGCTCATCTATCCATACATTTGAGACTAGATTGATGACCTGCTCATTTTATCAATACAGCATCTTATTTGGGATAATTTACAAGGTGGCTGGATCTCTTTTCTCCTTTTTCTCTTGGTTCCTTTAATGTTGTAATTGATGGAATTTTAAGCATTTTACGTATCAATGAATTTCAGGAATTTTTCTTTAGTCTCCCTAATGAAGTGATGAGTGATAGATTTTAAATTCTCACCAGCGTTTATAAAAAATAGTTAGTTCTATGCTTGTTCCGGCTCACCGCTTCTATGATTGATACCCTTCCTTCCCTTTTCTAATTCAATTTCTCAATGAGAAATTGGACATGCTTCTATATATAATCATATCAATTACTTCAATTTTATAGTTTCTACATGCTTGGCTAGTTTTGGAGTTATGTATGCAGTGACATAGAGTGACTTTGTTGAAACATTTGTAATGCTGGTGTTAGGTATAAACTTGCTCAAGAGCATGGCGATCTTATTAATCTCCACGACTGGTACCAATCATTCAAATCAATAGTTGTCTGCCCAAGTAACAGTAAAAAGAAATCAAGGCAATCCCCATTACCAAAGAAAAGAAAAGGCACAAAAGAATCAGAAAACCAGAGTGAAGCTTCCATACAGTATCCTTTTCTGTACTAGTCTTGTGCATTTATTTTCTTTACCTTGCATTGCAGACTATTCACTGATATAAAAATTGCATTGATGCATTTAGGGTGAGCATCATTGATTGGAAAAGTGATTTCTGTTTTATCATGATCACTTGTGAATGCAGGAAATGTAACTTCCTGGTCCATCACGATCTCATATTCATAGACATGTTATATTATATCAGGTCCAGCAAATGCATTCCATCTTCTGTAATTAATGCACTTAGTTTCCATTTTCCTTAACTTCATCTTCTTATCTGTCATTTTTATCCATGTTTTGCACATGTAAACATGATATGATTTTCCAAATGCATGAAACAAGACTTGGAAAAACTATTTTCTAACAAGTTAAAGATAGCATTTGAGAGACCTTGACCATTGTTTTGCTATAGAGCACGGTTTTGCAGGGCTGTAACAGAGCTCCAAATAACAGGGCTTCTTCGAATGCCCAGTAAAAGACGACCTGATTTTGCTCAAAGGGTGGCCTTTGGCCTCTAACACATTCCTACATGTAGGTAAGTTTTCTTTCTTTGAAAAAGATGACCGAATTGTAAAATTAATTTTCTTAAATGTATTCTCTAAATTTGTAACATTGAGATATCCTATATCTTCTACCTGCATTATTTCATGTTAGAGGGGACGAACTTATAAAATTTTAAGTTGGAAAGAAATGAGATATTTTCTGTGTTTTCTATAAGTTGGAAAATAGGTTAACTCTAAAATTTTATAAGATATAAGAATTTAAATTTTTAGGGAACACTGTCCCACTCCTTTTTAGGTCCATCCCTGTTCGTATGGGTAACGGCTAACCATATTTTTATGGTCCACTTTTATAAAAGAAAATTGGATTGTTTAGATTGCACTTTGTTATAAATTTTTAGTTTATTGGTTTTTGAGACTCTTACTTCCTAGAACATATTTTTTATCTTTTGGCATGTGATAATTGAATAAAGTTTTAAAGTTGATTATTTAATATATAATGAGAAAATAAAAATATTAATATTTTATTCAATTTTTTTAAAAACATATTTTCTCTTAAAAAACTTACTAATGTCACAGGCTAAATCGTATTGCCACAAGGCAGTGATAAATTAAAAAATTATCACATGAATTTATTGACAACATTTGTAATTTAAGAATCAATTATATGGTTGCATCATAATTTAATATTTTGAGAATTTATTATTTTTTAAAAAGAGAAATTTATTAATTTCATGCGGAAGAATCACAATATTTCATATGGTAGTGATAACTCTAAAATTATCTCGTGAATTAATTCAAAATTTATATATAATAGACCAACATCTCACACTCTAATGTATGATCTCATAAAAACTTTTAAATTAATGGTTCATGCATGACTTAAAATGATGAATGATGATTTCGTTTTTAAATACATATTTTTCAAAAATAATTTCTGTCGAGTTAAAAAATAGTTTAAATGTAAATAAAAAATTGATTTTTAAGACAGAAATTATGAAAAATAGAATTTAATATTATTTAACATATTTAATTAATTATTTTATTTTGGTAATTGTTTTAAATTATTATTATAGTTAAAAAAAGAAACCCTCCATCAAATCAAAAAATAAAACCTTAGCCATGCCAAATAATCTCTTGCACTGCTGGTACAAGCAAGGCATAAAGACAAGGTCCATTCTCAAATATAATGTACCTATGTCAAAATTCGACGTAGTCTAACATCACCTTAATTACTTTTTTTTTTGCTAGAAGAGGAAAATCCTGAATTAACTAGCTAAGACAGTATTAGGAGGCTGGAGATTGCACGATCAATGGGAAAAACATTGTGCTCAACGTCAGTCACAAAATTTTACATTAAGTAACGAATTTTTAAAATTTTAGGATGTGACAAATTTATAAAATTTTAAAGGGTAAAATCCAATTATGAAAAAAATACAAATTTAAAATATATGAAAATTTGAAAATTTTAGGGACAATTATTTCTAATCTTCTTCCTAGGTTTATTCATGATTACGTGGTCCTAATATATATGTGAGAAGAACACTAACATATTTTTATTTATTTATGTATTAATCGGGGTAAGTACAAAAAATATTTATTCTAATATAATTTTCAACTATTTGATATTAAATGCTTACACCCTATAGTATTTATGTTGCTCGAACTCAAAACTTTAATGAATAACAACAATTTTTTTCCTACTTAATTTGTTTTCGTGCACAACACTAACGTATATTATACGTTAATTAAGGCGGTCACCTTTGAAGGACGATTCATATTTTTGTGTGATTCAACTTTGATTAGTCATCTGATGTCAACGTCTTGTATAGAAGATTGTAATAGCTTGTCAAGGAATTGATATCCGTTTCTCGCTGAGGTGTCATGGAATTGGTTTGGGTCAACAAATTTTGTTAATTCGTTTGGTTGGTTGACAAGCTTTACGATCAGGGGCTATAAGAAACTCATTCCCATGGGATTGGAAACACCCGATTGTCTAAAGCCCAAAATTTCTCTGACTTAATTCTCTCATCAGATGTTTTCTTGTTTTTGGTTTTGTAGCGTATCATCTGCTCAACAGCAGGATACACGCACCCGCCAGTCACGGTAATTGTGCCATTTATATTTAGGAGTGTGTAAAAAATTCAATCCGACTGATTTGATTCGTTGATCCCATACGAAAATTTAAATATTCAATCCGTTTTTTTAATTGAACTCTTATAATTAAAAATTTAATCAATCGAACATTTTCGTTAACATTTATAGTTACTTTTACCTATCAAAATAATGAAAGGATCTATTATATCGCTCTAGATTTAGAACACACACAAAGAACATCACTGATGGAATCAACCATCGAAATGACAAGATCACATCGGGACATTAGATTTGTAAAATTCGCGAAGTTATCTATCACAACGATCGACCAAAAACTTTTGATTGATAAGAACCAGGCATAAGATCACTTTGATTATTATATAGGTGTTATTGAACTTGCTTTTACAACTCATTGACTTGGGGAATAAACACTCGCTTTTCTTTCACAATGACTGGATCAATTGGTTGTGATTCACATGAAATCTTAACGACCATATTTCTATTTTCATACTGAGACACATATTTTCTTATTGATAAGAATATTTTAACAACAAAAGTTCATACCTATCATTCGACCAAATTATGACAAAAAAAAAATAATGCATAAATTTCTTTCTTTCATTCATAAAATATAATTAAAGCCAATTCCTCCATAATTTTATGGAAGATGATTACTCTAGAAGTTATGAAGATTATCATAAGCGTTGAAATGAATTGTTAGAGACAATATCATAGATCTCTTTAAAAAGGGTTGGTTCGAGACCTTGCGTAGCAGAAAATTCTTGTTGGGAGACTCATCCATCAAAGCTAAGTGTGTGACGTGAGTCGGTCCGAATTAATCAAGATGAAGCCTTAAAACCGAAAGAACAACAGAAAAAAAAAATTCCTTTGCAACTCTATGAAATGTGATTACAAAACCCCAAATTAGCCTCAACAAGCGAACGTATTCTAGAATGTTGGCAACTGAGACATACACATAAGAGATAAACCACAAATCTCTAATTTAACCTCTTTCTTTCTCACCGTCTATACTACCATCACCTAACATGTTATACATAAACAAATATCAAAACTAACCATCAAAAAGATTACATTCATTAATTTAGCAATTGAGACCACCTTATTAGAAAAGAGAAATTAGAGAAAACCCTCTCGTCATATCTTGTTACCATAAAAAATAGTCAGAAATAACTCAAACTCAAATATTAAATAAAAAATGAAAAATCCAGACAACATGTAATCCTTAATGATACAACATGACATGCCAAGGGATCACATCCCTGGTGAGATGAATAAATAAATAATTGAAAATTTTATATATATATCCAGTAGGCATTGATATATAGCTTGCAAACACTTATGGATAGACTATCATAGAGAAAATCTCCTCCTCCCTGTAGCATACAAAGATTTAGGTTTCACAATACGAATTCAGTATCTAGAAATGATGATGATATCAATAAGGGCAAACTACACCAAATATCATTGAACTTTAGGTGTTGTATTGTTTAGACCATTGATCTTTTGATTTTATCAATTATATCACTGAACTCTGTGTAGACACCCGTTTTTGTCCGGGTTCTACTTTTGTTATTATTATTATTATTATTATTATTATTTTTACTTTTATTATTATTAATGTTGTTATTACATTTTTGTAGACCTAAATTACAAAGCCCAAATAGCCCAAATGGAACCCAAAATATAAACAAACCCGATTACAATCAACCCAAGCCCAATGGAGATCCCTTAGCCCACTTGGGTGACTCGGTTCAGGCCCAACACTCAACCCAGACCCATTAGGGTTCCTATCTTAGCTTCCAACCGCCACCATCGAGTGAAGATCAATGGTCAAGATCTCCCAAAAAACTAGGGTTTTTAACCTTAATTGAGTGAAGCAGCTATTGTCACCGCCAGATTGGACCGGCCTCTGATCGGCACGTGTGATACACTTGGCCCACCCTTTGGCTTCCTTGTCACATGAGCTACCGCCGGTGAGTCCTCGAGCCGCCGTCGTCACGAAAGTCGGCCAAACAGTGAACCAAATACCAAATCAATTAGAAAATCAACTCAAATCAGAGAAGAATTAAATCATATCAAAATCCCATTAAAATAACACCTAAAATCTTGATAAATCCGAAAAATTTTCCCCTACCTATAGATGTTATGATTTACCCCCGAAGGATGCCCTAAAAGGGACATGCAACCATTTTTCAAAAGGAAGGGAGAAGAGGCATTCGGGAAAAAAGATCAACCATTCAAACAAAAAGAAAAAACAGAGAGGTTTGATCCCAAAAAAAGAGAAAAGAAAAAACTTTCGAACAAGAGAAAACCAGCATACCTTTTAGGGAGACTCGACCGTCAGTAGCCTCATCAGAACTAGGGAAACCCATCTCCGAAGGTAAAAGTCTCATTTTCTAGATTTGGTTTTGGGGGTTCGATTTTTGGGTCTTTAGAGAGAGGCAGAGAAGAGGAGTGAAGATGGGGAATCTTTCGAAGTTGGTCACTCCCCGTGGCCACCTACATGTGGTGGCCGGAGCGCTTTAGTTTATTTCTCGGTGGCGGGAATGAAGTAGAGAGGGAGAGAGCATTATTATTATTTTAGGGTTAGGCAAATATGAGAACCTTTATCTTTTGCTTTAATTTTGGGCAGAAAGCATGTCCGGGTAGGATTTTTCTCTAATGAAAGCATGCTTGGTTAGATACCATATTGGGTAGGTGTTGTATTTATTTTTATATAGCATCTTTTAATTTTATTGAATATCTTGCCCGTACTAACTTAGTTATTTTCTTTTGTTTGTGTCATTTTTCGTCTTTCTTTGCATTGTATTTCATCAACATAACATAATACGAAAGTGTTGATCCGCAAAGGGATATTCAGGAGAAAAATTTCATAAGGAGAGGAAATTTTTTTCAATCAAGCAGTTGCGTACGCAGACATGCATCAAGGGCTAAAAGAAGTTCAAAGAGTAGAAGGAGACTTGCTCGAAGATCGTGCAACATTCGAGACTGGAAAGATGATCTATTGATCCAAGGAGTAATCTAGTAGAAGAGTTTGTCTACGATCATTCCATCTCTAATTACAAAAGAATAACACACTGATTTCAGCATCGTAGGGGCATTAACTGAGTTAGGTTACAGAGCATTTGAGGGGCATCATTTTCAAGGATGAAGATCCGAGATGAAGCACCGACCCATTTCAGAATCAATATCTAAGCGAAAACATGTCTATAAAATGGACTATCTTGTAATGTGAAGGCTTTTATCTCTGGTGAAAATTATTCTACGATATTCATCGTTGGGGTCAACATTTTTTGTATCTGCATTTGCATCTTTGCATTCTGCATGACATTCATATAGGTAATTTTTTTACATTCATTAATCATGGATACATGGGTTTATATCATGGAGGACTCAGAGGAGGTGTTTCTAACTATGCAACTTCATTCATACAATACTGAGAATGGATGCAAAATTTGAGAAACTGAAGAAAGAACTGGAAGAGAATTTGCAAAGTATGCAAATAGATTAGGAAACTAAAATGGAGCAAGCACAAAAGGCCACTGTGGATCTCATCTTGCAAAACCAAGACAACCTAGTTGACCAAATTGTAGCAAAATTGATTGGGTTCAACCAAGAAATAGTCAAAGAGAAGATTTAATCAACCATGGAAATCTCTGAATGTGTGAAGGAACAAACTAGTTCATAACTACTCATTTCACCCGATAGACTCCCAAGCCACCAATTAGGATTCTCCGCCACTAAAACTCGTGCAACTGTGTTAGATCCTGGGGATAATCCTACTAATCACAACATGTACACTCCTGATGAGAAGAAAAAAAACCAAGAATGAGATCCCTGAGAACTTAAAAAAGTGGTGTTGAGAGACATTCAAGGGAATGAGAGGATAAAACTCTCATAATGAAATGGATGCAAGAGAACTAGTCTTAGTTCCTGACTTGGTGTTCCCGTTTAAATTCAAAATGTCCAATTTTGAAAAGTATAATGGAACCAGTTGCTATATTACCCATCTCACGATGTTTATTCGAAGGATGACTAGATACACAACAATGATTAAATGCTGATCCATTGCTTTCAAGATAGTTTGGTTGGACCCGCTTCTAAGTGGTATAATCAATTGGGTCATACTCAAATCCACTCTTGGAAGGATTTGACTCGTGCCTTTTTGGGTCAATGCAAACACATGACTGATATGACCCCTAATCGAGTAATACTACAAAATATGGAGATGAAGAGTGATGAGAGATTCCGACAAGATGCATAATGATGGAGGGATGTTGCATCTTAAGTGCATCCACCAATGATTGAAAGAGAGTTCATCACTTTATTCATCGACACATTAAAATCTCCATATATTAACCATATGATAGGAGCTGCTACTAAGAGTTTCTATGACATCATCATGTGTGGAGAAATAATTGAAAGAGCTATCAAGAGTGGCAGGATAAGAGGCACTAACAGTATTGACATTGAGAAAGGAGCTAAGATTAACATAGTGGGATCTTATCTAGTTAATCAAGGGACCAAACCTCATAAGGTGTTCCATGAAAAGACTCAATCCAATTCCAATGACATACGAGGAATTGCTCCCAACGCTAGTTGAGAAGAACCTTGTGACTCCATTTCAATCCAAACCAAGAGAGGCCCCATATCCTGAAGGTCATGATGTTAACACCATATGCAGTTACCATATTGGAAGCTCAGGGCACACCATTGAGAATTGTGGGGCATTGAAGCGCAAGGTCCAATATCTGATTAATTCAGAGGCATTGATATTCGATGTGTAATGGGATATTGTGATCAGGAGTAGGCTGTGGCATCCATTAAGATTTTTGATGCACTCTCATCAAAAGCATTTCATCTTGTTTGAACTTGTTTTTCTTCCTATGTTTGAATGTTTGCAAGTCGTTTGACATTCGAACCTTTTTAATAAAAAAAACTTCCTTCTAACATAATGAGCAATGAGCAAATTTTAATCTTGAAATTATTTGAATATCAACTAAATTAAAAGCACTTTAATAATTGAGGTTGTAAATCTTTGACAAATAAAAATATTGAGCCCCTGCAAAATAAAAACCCCTAATTTTACTCCAGACGATACACCAAAATACATATCCTTCTCTTGTAGGGACCAAACTACTCTTCTATTACTACGAAGAGATAATCAAAGGACCTGACATTCAGGTATGTGTCAGGAGAGGACAAAATAGGGCATTGGTACATGAGATTGCAAAGCTAATTTGTTTCTACTTCTGTTGATGATGTTCAATGATGATCATGATCTTCACAGATGGAATGGTCGAGTAGGTGAATCTAGTTTAGGTAAGTTGTTTGGGAATTGAACTCTAACGATTATATTTTCTAACCTTCAACAAACACCTAGACTATAACAGGTTCTTCTTGACGAGCTTAAGAAATTGAATCCTGTTAGAGTATACCCAAAGACCAATCATATGATGATTGTAATAATACATTTATTTACCAATTTTATTGAATAAAGGCATTACCACTATTATTTTCTGTTATATGTCTGTGTTTAACGTAAACTGAAAGATAATAAAGTCCATATAATAATAATATTAAAAGATCCATAGTCAAGTATTATTATGGGCATAGACAATAATAATACGCTTAAAACTAACATCTTATTGATTAATAACAACGAGTTGTCATTGACATAGAGATGTCAGAATTGATACATGAATATATTGCTAGAGAACAATGTATTGGATTGACCCATCATGAGCATATGTATTGGATTATTATGTAACGGTCATAACATTGCTTATGGTGATGACTATATGTATGATCATCAGGATTGAGATCAATGTCATCCCAACATATATTGTTGTATGTTTTGATACAGTTAAACATGCTCCGTAACTGGTTGCACTATAAAGACTGTTATTGAATATATCCCGATATATGTAGTGGGGTGTGTATGATTGAGATAAAATTTGTCCTTCCTACATAATAAGAAACATATCACAGGCCACTTGATTGAGTGAGACTAGAAATGCATGACTGTGCTTGAATAAGTTGATATGAGATATCACAAATTATTCGTTAATTATAGCCTACTCTAGATATCAAGAAACAATAAATGGGCTATACAAGTGTGACTATTCCAAGACTTGTGCCTATTCTAGATATAAAGGACAAAATAATGTAATACATAATAGAGTTAATCACGAAGATGATATGTCGAATCATAATTTCTTGTAACTTAGGTGACAATGATATATTGTTCGATGTCACTCATTGTATGTAATATTAGAATTGTTCTAATAATTACTACTAACGTTACAAGAACCTACAGGGTCACACCCTAGGATTGAAATGAGAAAAGATGTACAATTTGTTGTATGTTACTAAAATATATCTAGAGTTAATATATGTATATTTGATATAAATATGATTTTAATTATCCCGAATATAGTAAGTAAACATTAAATGAATGTAATTTTGATTACAACTCTTTTAATTGATATTTAATTCGAAATAATTAAATAATATTTTAAATAAACATTAATGATTGTAATTTAGATTATAAGTATTTGATGTATATTTAATTTGAATTAATTAAATAATATTTTTATTAATTTGAAATAAATTAAAATCCCTAAGAGGTTAGGGTAACTGATATATTCAAGTGATGTAAGGTCTATAAGCCGTTTTTCTCAAAACTGATTTTGGGAAAAGAAAATTTTGCTCTCAATCGGGTTAACTAAATAGAGGTTTAGACGTGTTTTCATGGAGGCTTACGATTCGAAATGTTCGTGATCACCAATAGTAGCTTTTGTATTTGCTGTTGATCAAGGAACCCATTGTAAATATTCGCATCATTTCCTCCCGATTTAGGTTTTGCAAACTTGGATCGCTGGTGAGACCATCGTGTTTTTGTTTCCACTGAGCCGACGGTCCCAACACATCCGTATAACCATAACATAATTATGTATGTATACAATAAAGTTGATTTATTCCGCTAAAGCAATTAGTTATAGAGGAAACTCAAAAGCCCTGTCTTTATGAATAGATTACATTCAAACCATGACATTGATTGGGTACTTGGCAATTCGGTGTTTGCTTCACTAATTGTCAAGTTGAAGACTTTGTGATGACATGATAAATTCTTCTAGACATATAAAGGCATCTTCATGAGATAGATTACCTTCGTCTCGCTTGAGATATTTTCCCAAAAATTTTGAAATTTTTGAAACAAAATTGATCTTACATGAGATAGTTATCCTAAAAACAAATTTCGTCTTACTTGAGACAATTTTCCCTTGAGATGCAAATTTTGAATTTGTTTAACTTGAAACAAAGTTGATCTCACTTGAGATTGTTTTTCTTAAAAAACATTTCATCTCCCTTGAGACAGTTTTCCTTCGAAACACAAATTTGGAAATTGTTTATCTTGAAACATAAAACCTTAGAGATTGTTTCTCTTGAAACAAGTTTTGTCTCCCTTGAGACAGTTTCTCTTGAAACATAAAAAATATTGAGATCGTTTATCTTGAAACAAATTTTGTCTCTCTTGAGACAATTTCTCTTGAAACATAAAAACTTTGAGATTATTTTCTTTAAACAAATTATCCCTAAAGATGGCTAGACGTCCTCATCACATAGGAACAATGTCATCCACCGACTAGATCTCCTCATCACGTAGGAGCAACGTCGTCCTTAGATAGCCAGATTTCCTCATCACCTAGGAACCGTGTTATCTACATAATCCCTAAAGATGGCTAGACGTCCTCATCACGTAGGAACAATGTCATCCACCGACCCAATCTACTCATAACGTAGGAGCAGCGTCATCCTTAGATAACTAGACTTCCTCATCATGTAGGAACCGAGTGTTATCTACATTATCCCTAAAGATGGCTAGACGTCCTTATCATGTAAGAACAATGTCATCAACGGACCTGATCTCCTCATCACGTAGGAGCAGCGTCATCCTTAGATAACTATACTTCCTCATCACGTAGGAACCGTGTTATCTACATTATCCCTAAAGATGGCTAGACATCCTCATCACGTAAGAACAATGTTATCCGTCGACCCGATCTCCTCATCACATAGGAGCAGCTTCATCCTTAGATAACCATACTTGCTCATCACGTAGGAACCATGTTATCTCCAATTTATCCTTAAAGATGGCTAGACATCCTCATCACATAGGAACAATGTCATCCGCCAACCAGATCTCCTCATCACGTAGGAGCAACGTCACCATTAGATAAACATATTTTCTCATCACGTAGGAACCGTGTTATCTCCAATTTTACCTAAAAACGTCCATAACTCTTCATCGCGGATGAGCAACGTCGTCTTTGATATCAAGTTTTAAAACGAAATGGAGAACATGACAAAAACTTAATGTCTTGTTGTCTTTGCCTTATTCTTGTTAACACAAGAATGTGCAAAGAGAGGTAGCTATTGACATCCATTTTTGTTCAAGTTCTACTTTTGTTATTATTATTATTATTATTATTATTATTATTATTTACTTTTATTATTATTAATATTTTTATTTCATTTTTCCAGGCCTAAATTACAAAGCCCAAACAGCCCAAATGGAACCCAAAATACAAGTTGAGCTGATTACAATCAACCCAAGCCCAATGGAGATCCCTCAGCCCACTCGGGTGACCCGGTTCAAACCTAACACTCAACCCAAACCCATTAGGGTTCTTATCTTAGTTTTCAGCTACCACCAATCGTCATTCGTTCGATCGGTCCCAAAAAACTAGGATTTTTAACCCTAATTAAGTGAAACAACTACTGTCGTCGCCAGATTGGATCAGCATCTGATCGGCGCATGTGATACACACGCCCCACCCTTTGGCTTCTTTGCCACGTGAGCTACCGTCGGTGATTCCTCGAGCTGCCACCGTCACCAAAGTCGACCAAACAATGAACCAAATACCAAATCAATTAGAAAATCAACCCAAATAAGAGAAGAATCAAATCATATCAAAATCCCATTAAAATAACACCTAAAATCTCAATAAATTCGAAAAATTATCCCCTACCTATAGATGTTATGATTTACCCCCGAAGGACACCTAAAAGGGACATGCAACCATTTTTCAAAAGGAAGAGAGAAAAGGCAATTGGAAAAAAGAGCAACCATTCGAACAAAAAAGAAAAAATAGAGAGGTTCGAACCGAAATAAAAGAGAAAAGAAAAAAAAATTCGAACCAGAGAGAACCAACATACCTTTTAGGGAGACTCGACCGTCAGTAGCCTCACTGAAACTGGGGAAGCCCATCTCCGAAGGTAAATGTCTCATTTTCTAGATTTGGTTTTGGGGTTTGGTTTTTAGGTCTTAGAGAGAGGCAAAGAAGAGGAGTGAAGAGGGGGAATCTTTCAGAGTTGTTCACTCCTCGTGGCCACCTACATGCGGTGGCCGGAGCTCTTTAGTTTATTTCTTGGTGGCGAGAAAGAAGTAGAGAGGGAGAGAATATTATAATTATTTTAGGGTTAGGCAAATATGAGAACTGATTGGGATTTTCGGGCTTAGTTTGGTCTTATAATCCACACATGAAACGATGTCGTGTAGAATGGGAAAAGTCATGCGTTTAGTGCATAGGTTAATCACGCAGGGAGGGTTCCATCTTTGTAATATTTACGTTTCGGTCACTTGATGAAATTTTATCTTTCCATTTCGAGCTCTTTACTGTTTTATGTTTCGTTTTAGTCCTATTTGTTTAGTATTTTATTTGTTTAAGTGTTTAGATTTTTGGTTGCTGATTTTGTATAATTTTCATTTTCGTTATCATTTAATGGATTATGTTTGTTTCATTTTGGATTCCATATTTATTTACATTTCATATTGACCACTATTTGTTCATTAACATGTTTTGGGTAATTACTTTGTTTAGAGTCCTGATTTGTGCTTTAGTTCATTCTAGTCATTCTTTATCTGCCTAAAAGATTATGTACTTTAGGTTTTAGGTTTCAAACGTAGCATTATGTCCATTTTAGTCATTATCCTAGTACTTAATGTTCAGGGCTTATTATCCACTTAATCCTCATCGTTCTGTTTTTATTTTTTTAATCCTTGAAATTATTGTATGATATATTTTGAGTTTTCTTTTCTTTAGTACTATATATATATATGCATGTGTATTATTATGTATTTATTTGTTTGTGTACGAATGCTTTGTATCTTACATAGTTGTTTTCATACACATTAGATATTAAGGATACAATATATTAGTATATGTATATATTTAATGTCTTACAACCCTTATATTTATATATATACATACACACAAATATTTTGTTTCTTTAGATTTGATATTTTCCCCAAAAAAAAGCTAC